AAGATAGTTCCAGGTCTGTCTGCTGACCCTTATGAGTGTTTTCCAATCAGGTCTGATGAGATGCCAAGCCTTGTTCCCCGAGTCAGAAGTCTATTTTCAGGATTCCTCGGGATTTGTTACTTTGCTCTCCTTGCTGCCCTGTTGCACTCCCTTGGTGTTTCACCCCATTGTGCATGGGGTAGACCAGGCACAGTTTCCACACAGTGTCTCCAGTGCTGTCACCCATAGCACTATGGGTCAGTGAGGGAATGAATGACGTGTCTCCTGGTGGGACCAGCCCAGCCCTAAGGTCCTCTCAGTGCATTGGCTGCTCTGAGCAGGGATGTCATCCCTGGGGCTTGGTGGGCCATGATGAGGTCCACTCCCTAGCTTCGGTTTCTTTACCATAAGTTGATATTTTAAATATTAAGTATCTGTGTTCTCTTGTCAATAATGTCATATAGGTGCTATCTTAATGCAAGAGGGCAATTAGTTATTGCCTAATTACAATTCTTCATACAATTCAGATGTAAGTTATGATTAGGTACATTTAAAATACTTTATCTCTGTTACTAATGTTCCTAAGTTTTAGCAGATTCAGGTAATTTTTTCACATAGTTAAGCTTCTTATGTAAATTAATAAATACTGTATTCTACTAGAACTCTAATATCAATCATATTCCCTATCATAAAATTTTTGATAGAGAATGCTAAGCTCTTGAGCCAAGATTCCTTAAGAAGAGAAAAAAGTAAAACTATTATTAGATTAAAGAATAGCCAAGTATCTTTGTTCTAACACAGTTCCACTCTTTTGACTCAAAACACATTAATAATGAATTATCAGTAGAGAATAAGAAAGGATATGGAAAGAATAATTAGCCATCTGCATTACCCTGAAAATCGTACTGTTTAATGTGTCATTGTTGAATTGTGAGGACCTTTAAATATGATCATTTAAACTATCTTTGTTTTGGCTAGAATTAGTGGAAAGAAATCATAGGTATAAATCCAATCTTTTTGATAACAGTAGACAGTCAGGAAAGGAATGAAGTCCTGTAATATAACATGGTACCCTTCATTATCCCAGCTACGTCAGCCAGTTCATTAAAGGTGAACTGTTGGGACTTCTTACTCCCTAACTAGAAATCTGAGAGATACACAGTTTTAAAAACGGACTTTAAAAATCTAAGAAGAACACATTTTCTTTAATATTGTACATTTTCTTGAACCTATTTCAGTGGCAGGTTGTTGTTACAGGCTTAAGACTGGTCTGGCTTTGTTGGTTTGTTTTTAATGAGTACCAGCAGAAGTCTGTGCTGTGTCCATAGCACCCTTCACTGGATTGGACACGATCTGCTGCCCTGTGCGCTGAAAGTGGAACTGTCTGCACAGAAGCGGCTTCCACCTCCCCTCGCCTATCACCTGGTCTGGGTTTTTATTTACTATATTTCTTTCTGCGTTTTCTTTATAACCTCAAATAATCTCACACCTATAGTTTTGGTTTTAATTAAGTTGTTTTATATTGAAAAAGCAATGCAGATAACAAGGTTTAAAATTTTCAAACCACGGAAAGAACAATGGAAAATGGGTCATTTTTATAAAAATCATATTCCTAGTCTTGCTTATCCCTTCTTTGAAGATAATAACTATTCCTTGACTCTTCTGCCATAATTACTTTGTGCTTATAGAAGGGGCTTCAAAGCACATGGAAAATGGAATCAAAAGGTGATGGAAGTTTTCTACAAACTTTTTAAGGCCTCCTTGCTCAGGCCTGGGAGGTGCACTGGTGGCGCAGTGGGGAAGTATCTGACCGCTCTTTCACGGTCTGCAGCTCCAAAGCCCACCAGCTGCCGCGGAGAAAGACCAGGCCCTCGGTCCCGTGACTAGAAACCCTGCTAGGGGCCCTCTGAGTTGGGATCAACTCCCTGGCAATGGGTTTCCTTTTCATCTTTACCCAGCCATGGTTTATTGGTTTTTAATTAAGTTTTTGAAGGGGAAATACATTTCCGTGATTAAAATGTTAAATAAGTATCTAATGTAATATTTCCTTTCCACCCCATCCCCATATTGCTGTTCTCAGCATTCCCCCTCAAATAGTTTCTTATTTCTGTCCCCACTTTTAAACACAAGAGCCCTCGTGGTGGCATGGTGTGGGCCACACAAGTGGGCTCCTAATGCACAGTCCATAATTCGAATCCACCAGCTTCTCTGGAAGAAAGATGAAGCTTTCTACTCACAGAAAGACTTGCGCCTCGGAAACCCACAGGGGCAGTTCTACCCTGTCCTATAGGATTGCCAAGAGTCAGAATCAGCTCCCAA